TTTCCCTTCATGGAATACCTCTCTAACACGAATTTACGTAATTATCTGTTATTTTCGCACGTATACTGCCCTTCACACGCGTTTCTCTCAGATAAACATTTTTTCGAACGCCACAACCCACACGCACTGTCCACGCGCATCCGCCATTTTAGATTGTAACATTTTTGAAATCCAAAAATGTTTTTCCACTGTTTTACTCACTATTTCAACGTTAATTAGTTCAGATAATTATGAGAGAATATTAATCAGCTTCATGAGGAACTTATTTATCTAGTTATTTGTAGTTAGTAAAACCTTGAATCCCTTGGGGCATCTGAACAACGACTACGAAAATTCAATTTCCTCTCGAAAATACGCATTTCGACACGAATCCCGGATTCTTTCATTGTTTCCCTTCATGTGATATACCTCTCTAACACGAATTTACGTAATTATTTCTTATTTTCGCACGTTTATTGCCCTTCACATGCGTTTCCCTCAGATCAACATTTTTTCGAACGCCAGAACCCACGCGCACTGTCTACGCGCATCCGCCATTTTACATGGTAACATTTTTGAAATCCCGAAATATTTTTCCACTGTTTTACTCACGTATTTCGACGTTAATTAGTTCAGATAATTATGCGAGAATTTTAATCAGATTCATGAGGAATTTATTTATCTATTTATTTGTAGTTAGTAAAACCTTGAATCCCTCGGGGCATCTGAACAACGACTAAGAAAATTCAATTTCCTCTCGAAAATACGCGTTTTGACACGAATCCCGGATTATTTCATTGTTTCCCTTCATGGGATATACCTCTCTAACACGAATTTACGTAATTATTTGTTATTTTCGCACGTGTATTGCCCTTCACACGCTTTTCCCTCAGACAAACATTTTTTCGAACGCCAGAACCCGTGCGCACTGTCCACGCGCATCCGCCATTTTCTATTCCCCATTAGCTTTGAAATACCAAAAAATGTTGAATGCTTTATTCACGTAATTTGACGTCGATTCTTTCAGGTAATCATGAGAGGAGAGAAAATAAATCCGGGAAAAAACTGGACTCAAGTGATATCAGTCGAAATACGTCTGCAAATCCCGGACCTAGCAAATCTGGCTTTGTTCGCATTTTCGGTGCTACTTTTGATTTACCTTTTCCAAACGACAATTTTCCACGACCTATTCTTTAATAATGATTTGTAATTCCCGATTAATCGATTAGGCAAGTTAAAAGCACTGGGAGGGCACGTATCACCGACTAAAACTGATTCCAACGTCCTCGATTCATCGCCCGTGCCGCCGGTGAAACGTAAACAACTGGTGACGACAACTGGAGTCAAAAGACGAAATGGAAAAAATTCAAAGTTGACTCAGGGAGATTTTCTAAATAAAATAAAAGTCGGAAGAGCAAATTAACTCGCTACATTTTCGAATTCCGTAATGAAAATATCTTCAACCGGAAATGCTGCATGTATTTAACGGAACTTATATTTCAAACTCATTCTTCCGGAAATGTTGAGAATAAAAATGAAAATGAAGAAAAAAACAAAATTCACCATAACCTGAGGGTTCTGACCTTGGATTTTAAGGGAAGGAAAGTACTTTGTTCTCAAAATCTCATTTTTTAATCCATCAACGACTGATTTAATCTATATTTACCTCTAATAAAATCGTCAAAGTCGCAAAAACTACGAGAATCAAAAAAATGGATTCACCAGAGTCGCAGGGGCATGATCCAAGTTTGGAGGGTACTAAACTGCCATTTTTCATTAACCAACCATTGATTGTCCTGATATTCACCCCATAAATACCACTAAACCCCTCAAAAACGCGAAAAAATCCACGACACGCGATCCTCCCGCCAAAACCTCCCGGAGCGCACGTGACCTGCGCATGGTGTCGCCTCAGACTCTCATGAAAACCCGCCATCACTTCCCACCCCTTCCCGCGTCGCTGAACGCGGATTGGTCCCCG